GTGATTAGATTCGTGGCTAGGCGCATGCACTTTCGCAAGGTCAAGTATAGATTTCGTGGCAGGCGCAGCACTTTCGCAAGAATCAGTATAGATTTCGTGGCAGGCGCAGCACTTTCGCAAGGTCAAGTATCGATTTCGTGGCAGGCGCAGCACTTTCGCAAGGTCAAGTACAAAATTCGTGGCAGGCGCATCACTTTCGCAAGGTCACGTACAGAATTTGTGGCAGGTGCAGCACTTTCGCAAGGTCAAGTGCAAAATTCGTGGCACGCGCAGCACTTTCGCAAGGTCAAGTACAGATTTTGTGGCAGGCGCAGCGCTTTAGCAAGGTCAAGCACAGATTTGAGCAGCCGGGGCTCGAAAATCGCAACTTTTAAGTATGAAAGTAGTACGCGAAGTCAACTTTCGCAGCTGGGGCTTGAAAATCGCAACTTTTAAGTACGAAAGTAGTGCGCAAAGTCCACTTTCGCAGCCGGGGCTTGAAAATCGCAACTTTTAAGTACGAAAGTAGTACGCAAGGTCCACTTTCGCAGCTGGGGCTCGAAAATCGCGACTTTTTAGTACGAAAGTAGTACGCGAAGTCCACTTTCGTAGCTGGGGCTCGAAAATCGCAACTTTTAACTACGAAAGTAGTACGTGAAGTCCAGTTTCGCAGCTGGGGCTCGAGAATCGCAACTTTTAAGTACGAAAGTAGTACGCGAAGTCAACTTTTGGGGATTGAACATCGCAACTTTTAAGTGCAGAGAAAGATGGGTAGATAGATAGATCAATAAACAGATATAGAGATAGCTAGAGAAATAGATAGAAAGAGATAGAGAAACAGAGATAGACAGAGATAGATAGATTTGTAGATAGATAGACAAAAAACTAGCTAGATAGATAGAGGGAGATAGATAGATAGGAGATAGAGAGGTAGATAGATAGGTAGATCTATATATAAATCGCAACTTTTAAGTACGAAAGTAGTACGCGAAGTCAACTTTCGCAGCTGGGGCTTGAAAATCGCAACTTTTAAGTACGAAAGTAGTGCGCAAAGTCCACTTTCGCAGCCGGGGCTTGGAAATCGCAACTTTTAAGTACGAAAGTAGTACGCAAAGTCCACTTTCGCAGCTGGGGCTCGAAAATCGCGACTTTTTAGTACGAAAGTAGTACGCGAAGTCCACTTTCGTAGCTGGGGCTCGAAAATCGCAACTTTTAAGTACGAAAGTAGTACGCGAAGTCAACTTTCGGGGATTGAACATCGCAACTTTTAAATGCAGAGAGATGGGTAGATAGATAGATCAATAAACAGATATAGAGATAGCTAGAGAGATAGATAGAAAGAGAGAGAAAGAGACAGAGAAACAGAAAGAGAAAGAGAAAGAGAAAGAGAGAAAGAGAGAAAGAGAGAAAAAGACAGAGAGAAAGAGAAGCAAGGGGCCAAGGACAGTTCTCCAAACTATAGTTGTTCACTGCTTTGAAACTTCCGCCCCCCGGCTCTGCCGGACCTTACTTTGTAGTAATAGTAGTAGTAGTAATAATAGTAGTAGTAATAATAGTAGTAGTAGTAATAGTAGTAATAGTAGTAGTAGTAATAGTAGTAGTAGTAATAGTAGTAGTAATAGTAGTAGTAGTAGTAATAGTAGTAATAGTAGTAGTAGTAATAGTAGTAATAATAGTAGTAGTAGTAATAGTAGTAGTAGTAGTAGTAGTAATAGTAGTAATAGTAGTAGTAGTAATAGTAGTAATAGTAACAGTAGTAGTAATAGTAGTAGTAGTCATAGTAGTAGTAGTAATAATAGTAGTAGTAGTAATAATAATAGTAGTAGTAATAGTAGTAGTAGTAATAGTAGTAGTAGTAATAGTAGTAGTAGTAGTAATGATAGTAATAGTAGTAGTAGTAATAGTAGTAATAGTAGTAGTAGTAATGGTAGTAATAGTAGTAATAGTAGTAGTAGTAATAGTAGTAGTAGCAATAGTAGTAGTAGTAGTAATAGTAGTAATAGTAGTAGTAGTAGTAGTTGTCTAGTAATAATAGTTCCTAGTAATAGTTAGTAATTGTTGTAGAGTAGTAATAGCAGAAGTATGGAGTAATGCAATCAATAGTAGTTGTAGTAGTGTAATAGCAGTAATAGTAAGTAGTGTAATAAGTAATACAGTAATAGTTAGTAGTAGTTATAGTAGTATATAGTAGTAGTTGTAGTAATAGTAGTAGTAGTAATAGTAGTAATAGTAGTAATAGTAATAATAGTAATAGTAGTCCTAGTAATAATAGTCCTAGTAATAGTAGTAATAGTAGTAGTAGTAGTAATAGCAGTAATAGTAGTAGTAGTAGTAGTAGTAATAGCAGTAATAGTAGTAGTAGTAGTAGTAATAGCAGTAATAGTAGTAGTAGTAGTAATAGTAGTAATAGTAGTAGTAGTAGTAGTAGTAGTAATAATAGTAATAGTAGTAGTAGTAATAGTACTAATAGTAGTAGTAGTAGTAATAGCAGTAATAGTAGTTGTAGTAGGAGTAATAATAGTAATAGTAGTAGTAGTAGTAATAATAGTAATAGTAGTAGTAGTAGTAATAATAGCAATAGTAGTAGTAGTAGTAATAATAGTAATAGTAGTAGTAGTAGTAATAATAGTAATAGTAGTAGTAGTAGTAGTAATAGAAGTAATAGTAGTAGTAGTAATAGTAGTAATAGTACTAGTAATAATAGTAATAGTAGTAGTAGTAATAGTAGTAGTAGTAATAGTAGTAGTAGTCATAGTAGTAGTAGTAGTAATAGTAGTAATAGTAGTAGTAGTAATAGTAGTAGTAGTAGTAATAGTAGTAATAGTAGTAGTAGTAGTAATAGTAGTAATAGTAGTAGTAGTAGTAGTAGTAGTAATAGTAGTAGTAGTAGTAGTAGTAATAGTAGTAATAGTAGTAGTAGTTATAGTAGTAATAGTAGTAGTAGTAATAGTAGTAATAATAGTCCTAGTAATAATAGTCCTAGTAATAGTAGTAATAGTAGTAGTAGTAGTAATAGCAGTAGTAGTAGTAATAGCAGTAATAGTAGTAGTAGTAGTAGTAATAGCAGTAATAGTAGTAGTAGTAGTAGTAATAGCAGTAATAGTAGTAGTAGTAATAGTAGTAATAGTAGTAGTAGTAGTAATAGTAGTAGTAGTAATAGTAGTAATAGTAGTAATAGTAATAATAGTAATAGTAGTCCTAGTAATAATCGTCCTAGTAATAGTAGTAATAGTAGTAGTAGTAGTAAGAGCAGTAGTAGTAGTAATAGCAGTAATAGTAGTAGTAGTAGTAGTAATAGCAGTAATAGTAGTAGTAGTAGTAGTAATAGCAGTAATAGTAGTAGTAGTAATAGTAGTAATAGTAGTAGTAGTAGTAATAGTAGTAGTAGTAATAGTAGTAGTAGTCATAGTAGTAGTAGTAGTAATAGTAGTAATAGTAGTAGTAGTAATAGTAGTAGTAGCAGTAATAGTAGTAATAGTAGTAGTAGTAGTAGTAATAGTAGTAATAGTAGTAGTAGTAATAGTAGTAGTAGTCATAGTAGTAGTAGTAGTAATAGTAGTAATAGTAGTAGTAGTAATAGTAGTAGTAGTAGTAATAGTAGTAATAGTAGTAGTAGTAGTAGTAATAGTAGTAATAGTAGTAATAGTAGTAGTAGTAGTAGTAGTAATAGTAGTAATAGTAGTAGTAGTTATAGTAGTAATAATAGTAGTAGTAATAGTAGTAATAATAGTCCTAGTAATAATAGTCCTAGTAATAGTAGTAATAGTAGTAGTAGTAGTAATAGCAGTAGTAGTAGTAATAGCAGTAATAGTAGTAGTAGTAGTAGTAATAGCAGTAATAGCAGTAATAGTAGTAGTAGTAGTAGTAATAGCAGTAATAGTAGTAGTAGTAATAGTAGTAATAGTAGTAGTAGTAATAGTAGTAATAGTAGTAGTAGTAGTAGTAGTAATAGCAGTAATAGTAGTAGTAGTAGTAATAGCAGTAATAGTAGTAGTAGTAGTAGTAGTAATAGCAGTAATAGTAGTAGTAGTAGTAATAGTAGTAATAGTAGTAGTATAGTAATAATAGTAATAGTAGTAGTAGTAATAGTAGTAATAGTAGTAGTAGTAGTAATAGCAGTAATAGTAGTAGTAGTAGTAGTAGTAATAATAGTAATAGTAGTAGTAGTAGTAATAATAGTAGTAGTAGTAGTAGTAGTAATAATAGTAATAGTAGTAGCAGTAGTAATAATAGTAATAGTAGTAGTAGTAGTAATAATAGTAATAGTAGTAGTAGTAGTAGTAGTAGTAGTAGAAGCCTTGTCGGGATAGTCTTCACTGAAACTTGTCGGTGTAACAAGATTCTTTGTCGTTGTAACAGGTTCTTTGTCGTGGTTACGACCCTCTCTAGGTAGGGGCGGGG